TATATATATATATATATATATATATATATATATATATACAATATATATATATATATACGATATATATATACAATATATATATACAATATATATATATATACATATATATATATATATATATATATATATATATATATATATATATATATATATATATATATGTATATATATATAATATATATATATATATATATATATATATATATATATATATATATATATATCAACGAGCTTCGACTAAAACAATAATTTTAATTTTGTTGGTATGCATTCATTATTTAGTTTCAATCAGCTTAAATGTTTTTTTTAAACATTTCCTTTAATATGAACTCAACTTGTCTCAGCAGTTAGTGATCCCTTTAAAGAGGTAAGTTGTCAGAGTAAAACCCAAGTTTAGTACTCTTAATTTTTAAAGTTCTATCAATAAAGCATTTGATAAGATGAACTCTGTACGATTTTGAATTGAAACTATAAAAATTAGTGTGAAGACCAGAATAAGTTTTATATAGAAAACTATCGTGGTAACTGAAGAATTAATTTTGTGTAGATTCACGTCTAAAAAAGATATTTTTGAATTTACTTCTCATTCCATAGTAAAAGAAATAGAATTGTGTATACTTTTTATTTATGTAAGAAAAAGATGTGCGAGAACAACTACCAATGACACCTGTTCTTGCCAAACTTGTGTGGCACCTCACTAAAAGTTTTAAAGTCTTTTCTATTAAAGATCCTGTTACTCAAGAGTTCAAATCGTTCGTGGTGCATAAATTTGTATGTGCAGGATGTAACTCATGTTTTATAGGTGAAACTAATCGATATCTCAATACCCTGATATCTAAACATTATGAGAGGAACAAAAAATCTCACATCTATAAACATCTCTATGCTAATAAAATATGATACATGCAAATAAATGATAAGTGTTTTTCTGTGTTAGATTCGGCATCTAACAAATTTGAGCTAAAACATAAAGAAAGTATATTCATAGAATGGTTAAATCCTGGTATGAATAAACAAGTTAACCATGTACAAATGACACTTTCTGTTTAGCTGCTATTTTTTTTTAATATCGAGTATCTTTTAACCTATACTTTTGTTATTTCCTAATTCTTTTGTATGACAAGATAAACTTTTAAACTGATTTTATTGTATATTTGTAATTATGTTATTATTAGTTTGTACAAGAATAATTATAATTTGTATTGCATTATTTTTTAACACCTTTTACGGTATTTTAACAAAATTTTAAATATCTAATTTTAACTGAAGGCGACAAGTGCTAGCCGAAACATGTATTTTTTTTAATTAAAAAAAATGGTTTTAAAAATTAAAAAATTTGTCTTATTTATGAATGTATATATATATATATATATATATATATATATATATATATATATATATATATATATATATATATATATATATATATATATATATATATATACATATATATATATATATATAAATATATAGGGCTTAATTTAACAGTCGGACATCGGACATTGTCCGGCTAAAACCTCAGATTGTGCGATCAATTTACAAAGTCATCGGACATTTTGTCTGGCAAGATTTTTAATTCTTTTAAATAAAATTTTATTCGTTGATTTGAAATTGACAAATTTAAACTTAATGTAAACTATTAGACAAACAAAATTTGTTGATAATGGAGGCATTGATTCCCAAAAAAAGATCTCATTGATAAAATATTTTTGAAAAAACATTAAGAAAATACACATTCAAATATTAACGTTATAATCATCTTAATCATTCTATTATAGCTTGAGCGGTTTCTCAGTGGCATCCTGGCCCTACTCAAGTTTTCTGAATCTTTATTTATTATTTGTTTTTTAAACTATATCTTTATTTGTATTTTTTTTCTTATTATTTATTATATATACATATATATATATATATATATATATATATATATATATATATATATATATATATATATATATATGATACTGCGGGTAACAGTAATATATATACTATATAGCTCTGGTTTATCTATTGAGCACTCTTTAAAATATACATTATTATACCTGATAATATAAAGAAATTATCTTTAATATTTACATATATGCACCCACGTATATATATATATATATATATATATATATATATATATATATATATATATATATATATATATATATATATATATATCAGGCTTTCCCAGGAATGGCGTGCGGTCGCACGCCTTGTTTGTCCACGCATAGAATAATTTCAGAAAACGTGACCGCGGCAATATTTTGTGGGAAAGCGGAAATTATCCACAGAGAATAAAAAACAATATTTAAAAAAGGAAACGAAGTCTAAACAAAGTATAAAAATGAAATTGGATGTAAGAAAAATATTTTGATAATAAAAAAAAATTAAAAAAATAAAAAAATCTTGTAACAAAAAAAAAAAAAAGTTCTTTCATTAAAAAAAAAAAACATATTTTACTAATAAATAGCAATCATTTTCGTGATTTTTTGCGTATCAATACATTCAAACATTTAATTCAATACATTTAAACATTTAAATGTATTTACGAAACATTTAAAAATTGTTTATAGTTCTATTGTGAATTTTAAAGTAATACTAACTGATAAAAGCCATAAACAAATTATATATTAAAAGGTCCTTTTATTTTCTTTAAACATTATTCTTTTTCTTTTTAATTTGATTTTTCTTATTGATTTGATTTTTCATAGCTAAAATAACTACTACACCAAAAAACTAAGCTAAAATAACTACTACCCTAAACAAATAAATAAATAAAATCTAGGTAAATTTTTTTTTTAATAATATACATTAATTTTTTAATTTTAAAGCACAAACAGATTTTTGTTATTAACTTTAAGATTGCTCACATTTTTGCAGTATTTTTCTTAGCTTTGTTTTAGTGTGAATTCTTGAAACGCATAATAATAAAACCCGGTCAGTTACACAGAAAAATGCGTGCGACCCCATGCCTAATAAATTCTATGCGTGCGACCGCACGCCTTTCCTGGGAAAGCCTGATATGTGTGCATATATATTTATATATATATATATATATATATATATATATATATATATATATAAATATATATGCACACATATCAGGCTTTCCCAGGAAAGGCGTGCGGTCGCACTTAGATACACCAGAACTTAGATACACCAGAAGCTAGTCTTAAAAAACCTATCTGCAGTACTTTTTTACTCCCGGCATTTAAAGAACTATCTTTTTCCTGTGTTCCTTTTAACAAAACAATTATGAATATATGTAAATATTGGTGAAAATTATTTGTTTAAATTTTATTTCGAAAATTTGATTGGACAATGTCAGACCAAAATAACTTTTGGACGGCAATTTGTCCTGGACCTTATAAAAAATTAAATTAAGCCCTGTATATATATATATATATATATATATATATATATATATATATATATATATATATATATATATATATATATATATATATATATATATATATATATATATATATATATATATATATATATATATATATATATATATATATATATATATACATATATATATATATATATATATATATATATATATATATATATATATATATATATATATATATTTATATATATATATATATATATATATATATATATATATTTATATATATATATATATATATATATATATATATATATATATATATATATATATATATATATATATATATATATATATATATATATATATATATATGTATATATATATATATATATATATATATATATATATATATATATATATATATATATATATATATATAAAAGATTATAAAGTTCTAGCTTTATAAAACTTGTCTGCCAAAGAAGGAGTGCCTTTTTGAAAAGTAGATAAATAATACCCTGTAAAACTCATAAAATTTTCTTCGTTGAATTGATCGAACTTTGATGACATGCAGCGCGTGGAATTTTTAAATTAAATAATAGCCTGTAAATGTTATATTGCGTTTGATTTAACCCCCTTTAAATAAGTAAAACAGAAGTTTAAATTTTTTATATCAAGTTTAAAAATAATATGTTTATCTTAATATTTAATATATTTAATATAATATATAAAACATTATTATACTATATTACTATAACAAACTTGTTTTCTTGCCATTTTTATTATTGATAAAAATAGTTACATGAACGCCATATAAATACTTTTATGGTGCTAAAAGTGGAGCTTATGCGCAAAATTGACACTTTGCATATTATATATTTTTAAGTAAAAAAATTTACATAACTTTTATAAACCGGTAATGCAATTCAATGTAAACTAACAAGGTTTTCGAGAGAATAAAGCTCAATAAAACTTCAAGTCTATCTAAAAAAATGCGCAGTGTTGAATTTAAACTATTTTATTTAAAATACAAAGATATACGATGATAAAAATTTCGAATATTCAAAAAAAAAACTACAACTTCACTAGCCTAAAAATAAAATAAACTGAGAAAATATAACATGTTTTTCGATTGGATAATTGGGTTCGGTAAAACTTAGATACACCAGAAGCTAGTCTTAAAAAACCTATCTGCAGTACTTTTTTACTCCCGGCATTTAAAGAACTATCTTTTTCCTGTGTTCCTTTTAACAAAACAATTATGAATATATGTAAATATTGGTGAAAACTATTTGTTTAAATTTTATTTCGAAAATTTGATTGGACAATGTCAGACCAAAATAACTTTTGGACGGCAATTTGTCCTGGACCTTATAAAAAATTAAATTAAGCCCTGTATATATATATATATATATATATATATATATATATATATATATATATATGAATATATATATATATATGTATATATATATATATATATATATATATATATATATATATATATATATATATATATAAAATATTTAAAAAAAAGAAGAAAAAAACTTATTTGAGAGTAAATATTTGAAAACCCTTTAAAAAATAATTTGTTTAATGTTTAATGTTTAATGTCTAATTTGTTGAATGTTTAAATGTTTAAATATCTTGCCTTTTCTCTTTGTCTCTTTTTCATAATGACAATATAATAGCAAACCAACAAGACTGACAATTGATCCTATAAAAAATGTTGCAATGACTTTCACTTCCATGAAAATATTCTAACAGCTAAATATATATCTAAAAAATATATGAATTATTTAACTTGGCTTCTAATATTTAGCAGAGCGCATTTGTTTAAAAAAGGATTAAAATTTAAGAGCAAAATTAAACTATTTGATTAAACTATTAAAATAAGTAAGATTATGAAAACTATTTGCATTTGATGATATAATATATAACATTTTTTAAACTTGATGATATAATATACTGAATTCGATATATAATATATAAATATATATATATAAAAATATATATATATTTATATATATATATATATATATATATATATATATATATATATATATATATATATATATATATATATATATATATATATATACAGAGGGTTACAAAAGTGTTCGTACAGTGAATCCTTCAATAAATGTAGTTATTTTTCATACATTTTTTCAAGTTATTTTGGTGAAATTATGTACAAAATTTATTTTATAGATCAAAATTAATGCAACATGAAAAGAAAAATAATATATTTTCAGAAAATCCCTTTAAAAAACCTAGATCCAAGAAAAAGGTCTTGTTTAAAATGTTACTAAAGTCTTCGTACAATATAAAAATCTTTCAGAAAAACCAAAAAAGTGTCAAGAAAGGTATTAGAAAATCAAATTTCAATAACAAGTTGCTTTTCCTTTGCTTTTTATAACAGCTCTCAATCGATCTGGCATAGAATGAACCAGTTTTTTTGTGATTTCTTGACTTAAACAATTCCAAGCACTCTCTAAACCAACTTTCATCTGTGGTTTGTTAGTGAACTGAATTTTACGCAGTTTGATTTCCAATTCTGACCATAAATGTTCAATTGGGTTGAGATCTGGACTTTGAGCTGGTGTTTTTATTACTCTAGGACAGTTGTAGAGCATCCAGAGCCGTGTATCAAAAACAGAATGCTTTGGATCATTGTCCTGGTAGTACTTATATACACCAGTCAGCCCCAATTTTTCAGCACTTTGCTTTAAGTTTTGTTTTAGGACATCAATATAAACACGAGCGTTCATGGTAGTCTCTATAAAATGTAATTTACCAACCATTATATATATATATATATATATATATATATATATATATATATATATATATATATATATATATATATATATATATATATATCTATATATATATCTATATATATATATATATATATATATATATATATATATATATATATATATATATATATATATATATATATATATATATATATATATATATATATATATATATATATATATATATATATATATATATATATATATATATATATATATATATATATATATATATATATATATATATATATATATATATATACATATATATATATATATATATATATATATATATATATATATCTATATATATATATATATATATATATATATATATATATATATATATATATATATATATATATATATATATATATATATATATATATATATATATATATATATATATATATATATATATATATATATATATATATATATATATATATATATATATATATATATATATATATATATATATATATATATATATATATATATATATATATATATATATATATATATATATATATATATATATATATATGTATATATTATATCAGGCTTAGTCGGGAAGCGGGAGCGGTCGCTTTCGAATACTGACCACGGAAATTATATTTAGTTGCGTAAAACTGGCCAGGTTTTTTAGTCTTTTAGAACTTAAGAATTTAAGTTTAAGTGCGAAACAAAAAATTTTTGTTTTACGAACAGAAACATAAAAAACTTAAATGTTCTCAAAACATCTTTGTGCGAAAGAATAAAAAGAATATTTGCGAACACTAAAATCCCGCTAAATTAACGAACAAACTAACTCTATTGGTTCAAAAAATACGCTTATCAAGCAAAATAAAGTTCTAGATTGAGATTTCTAGCATTGTTTTAAGAATATATATTATTTGTTTACGATAATAAATGTTTTAAATATATATAGATTAAACTTTTAAAATTTTCAAAGTTTATTATAAATCATAGATTTTATTAGTATATTCTTATTTTTTACTTTAAAGAGATTGTATTCTTTGTGTAATGGTAATTTTGTGTATTTGTTTTTTATCGTTATGTATCTTTTAAAGCACTTTTTATGATTTAAACAAAGGCTTACAAAAATAATTGCGTTTTCAATGAAGTTATAATAGTTAAAGTTAATAAAACCAATTATGTAACAAACATATAAGAAGTTTTTGTTTACTAAACACAAACAACGCATACAAAGTAACTCGCGGATGAACAAGTATCGCGCCTGAGGTCACGACAGAACACAAGTATATATAGCAAATAATTAGATATAAAGAAAAGTTTCTAGATATTGGTTTACTAACTCTGATTATTTTCGCTAAAGTTGCCATCAGAGCCGGCGCTAGGTTATTTGGCGTCCTAGGCAAAAAAAATTTAACCCCCCCCCCTTCTTCTTCAAAAAAAAATATTTTAATTTGAAAGAGCAAAAACATTAATATTAATTTTATTTAAAATAGCATAAACATTATAAAATAGTGGACATATAAGCATTAAATATTTATTTTTGACAATTTAGGATTTCAGCCACTTAACTTTTATTTATAAGAATAAAAATATTTGAGATTTTATGACATTTAAAGAATAAAAGTAACATTTAATAGAATTAATGAAGACTATTCCTAATATTTATTCGCACCAAAATAATAATAATTAACCTAGCTTATCTCAAGAAATAATAATAAGTAACTAGCAAAAGGCAACCCGTAATACGGGTTTTGGTCGGTCTGTTACATAATTAATTTATAGTAGCTGTTTTCCACAATTTAATCTTGCAAAACCTTAACTAATACCCTTTTAGAAAATTGCCTTCAGCTTGAAAAAATTAATCCATCTGTAAAATTAACATAAAAATTATGAGGTAAAATAATTTACCAACTACTACTTAACATTATTTAAGTAATTTACAAATGGCACAGGTCATAACAGTGTGAGGCAAAACCATTTTCATCGACCTTCCTAAGTTTAACACAATACGTTTTTAGTTACTGACGCAAAATAATAACACTTGGTTATACTTTAAATTGACGAAAGTGTCAACTAAATCCTTGTAATAATATTTATAACATGAACCATTAAGATTAAAATGAAGTTAACTTATATTATACAGGAGTTATCAATTTTTTGTTATCCCCTTGATTAATTGTTCTTTAGAAAAGAAAATTGTTAACTTAAAAATGTTAAATGCACACGTTTAAATAAATTTATAAAAAATAACAAAGTTTATTATAACTACGCAACTGAGTACAAATACCTTTCAAACAAAAATAAAAAATTTAATTTACGATCAAACATAGGTATAACAAATTTTTTAATACATTAATGCATCATAGAACAAACTAAAATAAAAATTATAAGAGATAAGTAGACATAAAAATTTGTAAACCAAGCTGACCCGACCCGGGTCTTGTTAAGTCTGTTCAACACAGACCATTTGTATATTATTTATTTGGCCTCTTTATTTCATTAAATTTTTAGTAAACGGTAATTTGCCACCATTTACTAAAAATTCCTTTTGTAACTCGAAATTTAATTTTTCTAAATATTTTGGCTCTAATAAAGAGGTTCCTTCCCTCTTTTTGCTTTAATGGTGGCCAGGTGAATAAAATAAAATATTAAAATGTAAAACAATGATCTACTTATATAAGAATGTTTTCTTTCTTTCCTCAAAAGTGTTGCAAAAAAAGACTAAGCTAACTAATTAGTTAAACACATTAATAAAACTTAAGTAACTCGATATTAATGCGCAAAACTACAATATTCTCTATATTTTTAAAGGTTTTTAGTTACGACCCCCCATTCAACCCATACGACCCCCCAATCAATTCCCTCTCTACAATTCTCAATGCTAATTCTTATTTAAGTCTCATCTAAGAGAGAGGAAGTGTTTTAAAAACACCATGTTAAAAAAAGTAAAAAAGTCATGCAATAAATAACAGTAACTGGTTTTATTATGCTACCAATAAACAAAATTATTTTTACCTTAACTAAAAGTTAATTTCCAGCATTTTTTAATTTATTTCCAGCTTCTAACTGTTGACAAATGATTAATATTGTAAATTTCACATCATATTAAATTTACAAAATTAAAACCATGTTTCAACAGTAAGCAAAACAATCAAGTGATGACAAAGACAACTAAAAAAAAAAATGAACAATTATATTAAGATTACAAAAGTAAAAAAAAAAAAAAAAAAAAAAAAAAAACATTTAAAACTGAAATTTTTATTATTTGTTACTATAAATAGTAAAATTCATACTTTGCTTTATTTTAAAGTGTCTAATGTAAAGTCAAATAATAGACATCAACAGCGCTTGACACTGAATTCTGCCAAGTAAGTTTTTGGTTCATCAAGCAAAATTTCTTATATTTCAACGACAATTAATTTTATCATACCTAGATCTATTTCTTTCATATGACAACAATTTCAAGTCACCTATAACCATTTACACTAATAACTTCTTCGAGCCTAATTCTATAAATCTGTTATCATTAAATATATATTACCAGTGGTTATGCTACTGTTACAACTGAATAAATGAACGTTTTATATTTTTACAACTGAAAAATATAAAACAAAATTTATTTACATTATTTTAATTTAGCAAAGAATTTAGAACACAGTGCAAAGTTATTTGCATTGTGTTCTAAATTCTTTGCTAAATTAAGAAAGCCTTCAGGCACAATCTTAATGCACAAAAATAATAAATGCAGAATCTTGTATAAAAAATGAAGCAATGTCAGTCTAAAGTAATATATATGTATGTATATATATTCAAATTTTTTCTATTCTTAATTTTTTCTGAGATAATATTCATATAGATTCAGAGAAATATAAAATATTCCGATATATAGGCACATTTAAGTATATAAACTTACCTGTCAAAAATTACAGTCAGTTTTTCATGTTAAATACATAAAATATATATCTAATATAAAATTAAACAAA